GAGAGAGAGAGAGAGAGAGAGAGAGAGAGAGAGAGAGAGAAATCACGCTTAACTTCGTTCTCCTCTACGCGCCGATTTGCAAATCGCCGGCCAGCACGGCGGATTCGTCAAAGCCCCCCCGGCTTTACGAAAGGGTCCGAGGGCATCGGGCAGTCGGCCGGCAACCGTCGGCCACTTCTGCATCGGTGTGTAGCGGCAGCAGCGGCGGTGGTGTCAACGGGTCAAATCGGCATGAGGAATATGGCGATCGTATAATGTCCGAATTAACGAAAGATTGGAAAAGGGTATATGGTACCCTTAAAAAAAGAAATATCGCGAGACATTTCAAGTATCTCCCCTCCCCGATTGCTCTCCAAGAAGAAGAAACGTTACGAGGGTTAACTCGTAGATAGGGTCCACAAGTTAATATCCAACTAACGTTAAAAAAAATATAATATGAAGGACAATAATCTATTGCATTATTATTGTTATTATTAACTGCCGTTATTATGTAATGTTATCATTACAGCCGTTATCTCCCATCAAGCGATCGTAACGTCAGCATCAAGTTGACGAAGTAGAAACATGAAAGTGAGAAAAAAAATGCGAAAGTGCGTTTCCGTGCCGGTCGCTGGCCGCATAGAAATGCTTTATGCATTGTTCATGTCACGCCGTTAAACGGCAAACGATCGGGCGTTTCTCATCCGGCTGCGAAATCTCTTCTGTTTCTTTTTTAAGTCACGCGCACGGTCGTGGCCAACGACGAAAGATATCGCTCGGCATGCGACTTATCTCTCTTTCTCTCTTTCCCTCTCTCGCGTTATATAAAACTTTCAAATTCGCCGTCTCGGTTGCACACGTCGCGCCGATACGTGCAATTTCTGTTTCTGTGCGCGAGTCTTGAACCGTGCGGATCGATCGATCGGTCGATCGAATCTTTTTACGTCTATCCCGAGATCGAGGGCACGGAACGCGGGAGCGCACCGATCGACGGGGCCCACATATGTCGTCCCATCGATGAACGATAACGCGATGCGATGGCGGAAAAAGGAGAAGGGGGCTGACCGGGGGGGAGGGAGGGTAGACCGGGTCCGGTGACGAGATAGCCGCGCGCGACCGGGGCCCGCAGCATTTGAAATCCAAATCTCGATCTCTCTGGAGGGATTCAAATCCCGAATGCGCAGCAGATCGAAGATGCACCGATCGTGTATTCTAAATGCTCCTGATCTTTTCGCATTCCGCATACATCTCCGTCGCGAGCGAAATGTCACCGGTGATATTTCGAATAGATTCACGACCGATTGCATCGGGGGCAAAGATCGACGGAGCGGACTCGTACTGTTCAAATCGTGCTATTGAGTAAGACAGATCTTTTACAATTGCAAAGGTGGAGGACGAGACCTATTTCGAGCACCTCAACGATCGAGAATATCTCTCTTTTCTTTCAGGAAGAATTTCCAGAGGCTTCTTCGTAAGCACTGACTTTTTTGAGAGAAGTGACAGTAGCTAACGTATCTGAAAATGTAAGGGAAATGCAAATTCGTTGTTAATGATAAATATTGTCATTTGATAAATATTGTCATTTGATAAATATTGTCTGGCCAATCGTACGATTTGCAGAGAATAGCGTATTAAGATGCACCTAAGGTGCATCTCTAACGGTAAAATGATTTATCTTGGTTAAAAACCGATATTTGCCGAGGTCTGTATGCGTACGCAACTGCCGGAAGGTAAAAAAAGCGAGAGAAGAACACTCGGCTCATCGAAATCTCCATGATATCTGTGCCTGTGTCCGCTAACGCATTGATCGCGGTGAAATAATGAGTACCTTGTTCGGCGATGGACTCTTTCATCATATCCGGTTAAAGTTAAACGACGGATCGCCCTTTACATTGTAACTGCACTACTGGAGGTGCATTATGTCGTCCAATAAAATTTTATAGGCGCCTGATCACACGCCAATCTCCATATCTCTCCTACTTTTTTCCCCATCGTTTCTTTTCTGAAATCAATTATAATAATTTGCATCCTCGCGGAGATCGGGAACGGAATTGCTTGTAGCTTCGTCGAAGATATCTCGCTTTGATCTTTGCGATCGCACGATCCTTCTTTTTGACGAGACTTCATCCGTCAGATTGCCGATTTATCGATATCGTCCACATGTTTTCTCCCCTCTTCGCTTTTTACTCTTTCGGCAGAACGAGATAAACTAACACACGTTCCCTTTCTATAAAAGTTAAATATATACGTAAGATGTAGAAAGAAAGTTATTAAAAAAAAAATTAATAAAACTGCATTCTGCAATTAGAAATATTTGAGTGTAACGTATATAACGTTGCATGAATAAAATAAATGATGTAAAAAAATAGTAAATTGAGAAAAACAAAACTTATTAAGATAGTATTAATACTGTTAATGCTATATAATACTAATTAAAATTAAAATTCGCTTGTCGTGTTTAATTAATAAGAAATTCCTACATCTGAGAATATTGGCGAGAAAAGAAGAATTGAAAACAAATTAAAAATATACGTTATACGCATTAATCGTCTAGAATCAACAAGTACATGTAGAAACTCTAGACGATAAATTAACTCTAATTAATTATTACTCATTTACAATACTCAGTTATAATACGTTTCACCGATACATACAAATTAACTTTTTCTTGTTTGCATATAAAATTACAAATTAAATTGCAAGAGCTCTTAATTACCACGTGCAGACGAGACTGTTTATAAGCAGTGTGATTCACCAAGCTCGGAAGTCGAGTTATATAAAAAATTTTTGCTTCTCATTTAATAGTGAACTTGAAATGATTAATTCAAGGTTCAATTATCATGATATTTTTACATTAGAAATTATAAACTTGCAATAAAACATGATCTTCTATAAAATATTCAATAAGGAAAAATTGATTCTTTATTTACCATCGAATCAAGGCTGAAAAACCTGTGTTAGATTTGAAACATCCATATAGAACAATAAAAGCAAAATATTATCCATATTATTTAAAGTACTTATTAGTTACGATATATGATTACAGCGTTCACCAAGCATTGAAGTCTTTCTCAGGCGCGGCGTTAATTTATTATTATATAGCTTTTTTCAACTAATAATAAAAAATGACATATAATATTTAGATTTATAAATGTAAATTAGATTATTTATTGTCATCCTCACAAATACCTAAATTTATTTTGTCGGTCGAATAAAAGTAAAGTATATTGTTTGAAATTTCTTTTTTCTAGCAATGGTGCAAAAAAAGCAATTAAATGATTACTTAATCTTTCTTTGAAATTAAATTACTGGGAACTCCCGGTTATGCGTAATTTTCTAAAAATAACTCGGAGATCTGATATAAGTGAAAGTCATACCTTCTACGATAATTTATCGCGACGATTACAAAATTAAAAGATTAGTCACAAATAAAGATAATAATAAATTATTACAATCTTCAAAGGATGTAATTTCTCCTTGTATGTGTACATACGACATGTTGACTCCTCTTCATGCCGATAATTGACACATTGATAAAGTCGCAACAAAGCTTTCTGTCTCTAGCGTTTCAAACCTGTCAATTATTACTCTACGTTCACGTAACAAAAGATGACGCGAATTCACGTAAATGGATTCCATCTTATTCGCGCAGTAGAATTTGAAGCGTTCGCCGAAACGCGACGAAGTACTGGAATAGCTACGATGAAGTATCTCTTACTATTGGTGCGATGAATAAATATTTCATTTTTTCACAATATCTTTTTTTTAAATAACCTATTGCTTAGTTTTTGTTTTTTTTTTGTTTATGTCATTCTGATTTCTTCTTTTGCTTTGATCGTGACGATCGTATTCCTCGGATCATCGCAGGTGATACTTCCGCACGTCGCTACGGAGATGTGTCTTCGACTTTTGAGAAACAGGGCCGAAAGCAGAATAGGAAGACGACCGGGATGTGTTTCGCTATGGAACCCGATCACGGGGGAATTCGAGCAGCTCGAGGCGCTAAAATCGAATAAAACTGCTTTCTGTAGCGTCAAGGCGGAAAACAACTTACGTGGAAAAACTCTCATCGTCGCTACAGATTTTGTGAGTGATGACTTCCTTTAAAATGGACTGGTTGCGACTGATTGCGACTGATTATCGAATTCACATCCGACAACAATTGATAACAATTGATAATGTCATTCGAGCTAGATATCTTTTCAGATGAATCCATATATCATTATAAACGTGAGCGAAAACAAGGTCACGGGATTAATAGGCGACACTTGGATGATTCTAGAAGAAACTTTGAAATTCAAGTTAGTATTTTATGATTATATCGATAATTATTACTTTAAACATTCAGAAATACTTTTTAAAAGATCAGACGGGATATTTTATTTCAATTATTCTATTTTAAATACTTTTCGCGTTACACGCGACGGCTGAGAAAATCAGATTTTCCCGCTTCGCTACGTAAATGATTTACGACTGACGCAAGTAACCTCGGCAGGTGAAATATTTCAGCGAGATTCCTGCGCGAATATAGATTCCTCATAGTCGTCGAGAATATCAACCTCGATATGGCGTGTCCTCGCGCAAAATTATATCTAAATGTCAATGAAATACTTGAACTTTCTCTTTCGCGTTAACCCGCACGGTCAAAGCGTTCGTATATCGTATTCTGACGACGATTTACACGGACAATTTTCATGACGACGCTTCTTCAAAGGGATATGTGTGACGAAGCCGTACGTAGAACCTGCCCAATTTTCCGCGTACCACCTACACCCACGTCGCCGGTGTGGGTCAAAATACTCGCATGATTCATTCGTCTAGACAGGTATAAGTATAGTATCAGGATGGGTTGATGGGCAGCGGGTAGGGAGAGGGACAAGGGATTCGCGGCGGCGGCGGCGGCGGTGGCGGCGGCGGCGGCGGCGGCGGCGGCGACGGTGGCGGCGGCGAAGGGGGCTGGGGGTGTGTTGGACGAAGTGCGAGTTGCGCGGCACCGTAATAAAGGTTTCTCTTCGACGAAAATGCAGGACGATTTACCGAAGAGCGAGACGGTCGATCATCGCGACGCTGATGAATGGAGATACTCACGCACTGCTGATCCCCACGGCGATGCATAGGTACCCCACGAGCTATTACGCCTACAGCGCGCCGTTCACGACCAACTCGTAAGTCGAACTCGTTATTATTTTTTACCATCCCTTCCCCGGCCCTTTCTTTTTTTTCCTTCTCAACGCAACGCAGCGAACAAGCGACTATTCGCTATACGCGAAGCGCGTGAGGTGAGCTTTCGCCCCTTTCCCTCCCTCCCCCCCCTCCCCCCCCTCCCCCCTCCTTCCTTCCGTGAACGACGAAAGCTTTTTCTTTCAGCTGGTGGTTTTACGTCGGCCATTAACCCGTTCCGGCCTATTGGAATATATATATATATATATATATATATACACTCCCGTGATCGTATCTCGGCTAATAACTTTCCGATTTCGCTTTCGCAATTTCTTCCCCCGTACCGGTTGTTTTCTCCCATGCGAGAGAGAAAAGAAGCGGGAGGAGAGCGCGAAGATAAGTCCTCCGATTGAGATCCTCATCGAGAGGAAATTTCTTTATCGCGCACGCGGCGAGCAAATGCAATTGCAATCGAGATGTTATCGCGGAGTGACACAATGCGATCTCGTTCTCATTTGAAGAAAAGAAGTTTCATTCGTGTCTGTTCTTCCTCGGTAAATTTTCCAGAAAATTATTACATTTTTTTTTATATTTCTTCGTTCGGACACGATGGAAACTTTTATCTGTGATATATTTCTGATGAAATTATGTTCTTCTCTTTTTAGGTACGCTCTATTTGTTCGATCGGAAGGCGTGATTGACGTAAAATGGTGGTACATTAATATCTTCAGCCGCGGTTTATGGGGAGCGTTTTTCGGATCTGTCATATGTATCGCCTGCAGCATCCTGGGAATGTACCGTGTAAAGAAGTTCATGTGCGTTGATTATAAGGAGTGCGACGACGAGCTTTGTTCGTTCTCCTTCGATATTCTTTACATCCTGGGTGGTATAAACGGTCAAGGTAAGGCTTACGCGTGCAAAAGCCATTCGTATAAAAAAATGATGTGAGAAATAACAAGATTTCTCTCACAATTTCATGAAGAGAGTAAAAATAATGAAATTTAATTTAAAAAAAATTTATTTTTATTATTACCTCTGCAATTTTTATATTATTCAAACAAATAATTTTATTTCACATTACATTTTAATTAAATACATTTTAATTAAATAGATTCTTGACATAAGAAGAGTCTAAAAAGCTTAAAAAGTCAAGTGTTTGTTATTTAGGATTTCAGAAAATGCCGAGAAGCTTGTCTCTCCGATTGATAATTCTGTCTTCTCTGATGTTCGGAATGGTGATGACGTGCGGATTCAGCAGCGCACTTACTTCTTGCCTGGCAAATAAAGGAAACTCCGTTTCCCTGACTAATCTCGAAGATGTGGTGATGAAAAGGACGCACTCGCTTTGTGTCAGAAACGACAGCCTCGCATATGTCTACTTTACAGTGGTAAAAATAGAAACAAAGAAAATGTATAAATACTGCGGAAACTACCGCAGCTTCGGTTAGGAAATGTGTTTTCTCAAAATCTAGGAAAATACGCTTTCTCATATCGAAACTACTAGAACGAAAGTATGAATCGTTATTACTTGATTTACGTCATGAATCTATCTATTTTAATAAAGGATCAGATATTCGGTACGACAAAAGAATGTAGCCTTGCGACAAACTTTGGAAATTGCAAAATGATTAAAAAAAGATCCTCGGAAAAATAATTGAAGACAGTTCAAGAATATTAACGATTTTTTTCTCTCCCACGTTTTTCTTTCAAATCGCTTATTCCAGTTTCAAGAATTATTATCATCGCTGCGATCGTTGCGTCAACCGCGCGGTTTAACATTTCAACGTCAACGCGGTTTAACATTCGTTTAGTGCAATAGAGCAGATATCACGTGTCGAGGGAATTATAATATTCAAGATTATATCAATTATAATATTCAGGATGGCTTGCCGGAAAGCGACCTTCAGGACGATTGGAAAGGATTGATAAATTATAACTGCCCCGACATGAAAGACAGCGACACTGTCGCTTCGAAATTATGCCGTCCGGGTTTCGCCTATTTGGAGGTACCGGCCGTATTTTTACCGATTTATCGCAAAGTTCAGCACGAGTGCGACATTGTACGACTGCCCGACGATTATTGGAGTGTCAAACTGGCATTTCCACATGCCAGAGCGTCGCAATACCGTAAACTCATTGACCGTTAGTGAGTATCATTTCCCGTTGATTCCAATCGCATCGAAGCACGTGCTTGATGACAGCTCGACCTATACGTTAAGATATACAGCTTATTTGCATGTCAAAATGGCACTAATATTTCGAGAAAAAAATTAATAATTAATTAGAAACTATCATGCGATGAATATTAAAATTATTTAATTATAATTTCATTATTGTTAATTATTATTCATTACATGATAATTTTTATCTTATATTAGTCATAACAAAGGAATGTGCGAAATATGCTTGTAAACGGTTTAATTTATTAATATTATACGATTTCTC